CCTGGGCCTCTCAGCACAGGATCTCAGGGACCCTGGCTCTGTTGTGAGTAGCTGGCTTAGGAAATGTGGGGGTGTCAGTGTGACTAATACAGTGCAGAACTTTTTATTTTTGGTCTGCTATCCTAGTATAGCCAGATTGGTCATCTCAGGATGAAATCCTTTTTACCTGGTAAATTGGTCAAGCTGTATGTATCAATGAAGGCAGAATTCAGCTAAAAAGTTTGCAAGAACTATTATTTTGAGGCTGAAAAGGACTGAGGCAAAACTATACATGGAGACTAGTATTAGGAAAATCATGCAGATGGAAGAATTGGGGAGAAGAGGTTATGTGTCTCAGTGACTGCTAATTGCTTGTTTGGAGTTATGTATTTATTTTATTCAATCCCATGTGGCTTACAATACACCAAACAATATAAAAACAATATAATAAGAAACAAAAAATAACAAAAATTAGAGAAGAAGAAGAAAGTGGCTTTGCTGGGTCAGAAGGGCCCAGAGAATCACAACCATTCATCTTGTGCCAGCAGATTTTGGTCTTCAAAGAAGGCGAACAGAAGGAGAAAGCAGGGATCCTCCGCCTACGCCAGTCAAATGCCCAGAAGCCTGTGCCGTCCACACATAGCCCTTCTGGGAGCCAGTACTGTGTGTGCTCCCAGCCTCCAAGCCCTGCTATGTTGCAGTGTGAACTGTGTCAGGACTGGTTCCACACCACCTGTGTGGCTTGGCCCCGCCTGGGCAACCCCCGGCCCTCTCCGGCATGGTGGGAGTGGGAAGCAAAATTCCTGTGTCCTCTATGCCAGCGTTCCCGCCGGCCCCGCCTGGAGACAATCCTGGCCTTGCTGGTGGCTCTGCAGAAACTTCCTGTCCGGCTGCCTGAAGGAGAAGCCCTCCAATGCTTGACCGAACGAGCCATTATGTGGCAGGACCGTGCTCGCCAGCTCCTAGCTTCCTCCGATGTAGTTGCTGCCTTGGGACGTTTAGCAGAGCTGCGGCAGCGATTGCTTGGGGACTCGGCCAAGGACGCAGGTGCGCTCAGAGAGAGCAGCTGCAATGAACAAACAAAGGTGAGTGCAGGAGATGAGCTTTTTCAGGCCTGGCTAGTTGGCTCTCCAAGGGGAAGGTGAGGCGGGCACTAGGTTTGCTGCACATGTTTCTAGGGACAGAATTTGAGGCTCTGACTTGCAGTGTGAACGCTTTGTAGAATTTAGCCTGCCTGCTGTATTTGGGGCTTTTGAAAAAAATGTCATTAATAAAGGACCAGGGAGATTTGAAGCAACTATCAATTTCCTTTTAGAAAAGCATTTATATGTAGGGGAAGCCAGGTATTTGTTTAAGAAACAAAATTCTCTCACCACTCCTGCATTGTGCTTGTAGTTTATAACATTGTACCTGTACTAAAAGTCAAATAACTGGTTGAGTTAGATGAGTGCATGAAGCCAATAAACATACATGGACCTCCACAGACACACAGTCTTGCTGTTTTGCCCTCACTGTCCTGGCCACATTATTCCCTTAATGATAGAAATCGTCATCGGCAGAATTTCTCAAAATCTAGCACCTTCCTGCTTCTGGGTGCAGTTCTCTTTCTCTGGGGTTCGTATGCAACTTTCTCTCTGCTTTTCATTACAAGCTCCTTGCCTGTTGGTTTCTCAGAGCACTGTCTACTTGGCTCTGCTTTCTTAAAAACTCTTCTCAAAAGCTAGGATGTTTTTCTTGCCTCTTTGCAGATCAATTTTTAGATTTATATCTCAGCTTTCCTGTCTATGCACAAAATGACACACATCAAGCTCAGTCAAAACTTTATTACTGTCAAAGACCAGCATAAAATGACACATATAATATTCTGTCCTTCCATTTGTTCCCCATAACAGCAACCCTGTGAGGTAGGTAGGGCCAAGAACATGCCTGGCATAGTCATCCAGCTGTGGCTAAGGGTGGACTAGAACCTGGCTTTCTCTGGTTTAGTCTGACACCTTAACCACAGCACCACACTGGCTCTCTTTTATCATAGTTTCTTAATCCCCAAACTTTTCTATAGACTTATATTGCCTGTTTTGCACCCTTCATTCATTTCCCAAGGTTATGCAACGTCCTGTGACTTCTTCACAGCTCTCTGGTCTTTCCTCCTCAAAGAAGCTAGACTGCCCAGAGTTTTGTTTCTGAAGGAGCTAGATATTTCTTGCCATCATAGCAGCTCAGCAAATCTGTCTTGGAGATTCACTGCCCTATCTTTTATATGTAATATCTTTTATGTTACCCTGCATTGACAAAGGCGAGTGAATCTCGATAAGAGCCGTTGCCCTGCCCCGGCCATAACCTAGAGGGCCAGTGTAGGTCCTGGGAGGCATGATGTGGAAATTGCATTTGTGGCTCAGAAATCCTTTTCTTCCCTCTTCTTCCCTCCCCTCCCTCAGATTTCCTTAGAGAATGGAGATGCCACAACTCCAGAGAAGAACAGCTCCTGTGCCTCAGGTACTACTCTAGTTAAGTCCTTGTATTGTTAAGTCTGAGTAAGTAACTAGCCTGTTTTCCCTGTTTCCTTTAAAATACTAAGAGCTGAAATACGGATTTGGGTGCTGTTCTTCTCCCCCTCTCCCCCATCACTTTGGGTTGAGACTTGTTTAACACTTCTCTGTGGTAAAAATAAGGAAGTTGAGCTCTGTTTCTTTACATCAGGGTATATTTGTGCTTCCCTTACAGACCTGGAGATGCTTTGTTCTTACCTGCCACAGCTGCAGGGCCCTGTCCTAGAGTTGACAGATGCCGTCCGTTTACCCTTGGAAGAGCTGCTAATGGAAGGGGACCTTCTCGAGGTGACGCTAGATGAGAGCCAGAGCATTTGGCGCTTGTTACAGGCTGCTTGCGCTCCCCAGCTGGACAAATTCCAGCAGCTGCTGGATGTGAGTGTCATTCCGACGGTCAGCAAACACTCTGAGCTGTTCTCACGTGTGTGGATTTGTGACTCTTTTCCATATCTTCTCTGTAAATGTGTCATAGCTGTCTCTTTAACAAAAAGGCTAGTGAAGCATTTTTAGCCACAACGTTTGCCACTTTCGTTAGTGTCTTAGGAACTGGGTACAGATCTCAAGAGTCTATGAAAGCTGGTGTCACTCAGGAAAATTAAATATGTATGCTGCCTTACTACAAAAGAGTGACAATCAACTACAAATATTAAAATGGGTTTCCTTCATGCTGTGATGGCTTATATTAAGAAACAGAGGTACAAGCCAGGAAATCTGAATACAGATTTTTTATGTCACTTACTGATGCTGAAATCATTTGACTGAAAAGTTACATTACCTGTATGGAGAACTTGGTGAAAGTGCATTGGGACATACAAGTCGAAAGGAGCTGATTCGTATGCTAACAGCTAATGTGAAACAACTGATTTACTTCTTAGGGATCTTACTTTCATGTGGATCATTTTTGAAACCTAGATTTTTTAAGCCCCCCCCCATTCCAATAATGGCGGCAATTGGTATCTCTGGAATCTCAAAGAGGGACAAAATTGCAGCATTCCAGCCCTCTTCTTTTTCTAGCTGTATTCCATATCAGGCATATTCTCAGCAGCTATCGTCTGTGTCTGTGAATGTTCACGGATTTTGCTTCTTTGTTGGTGTTCTTATATAGTGGGGAATAGTAAAGCTTTCAGTTAGTGAGGAGAAAAAGATGGGACATGAACAAAAGCTCTTTTGGTCATAGAAGCCTCCTTCAGTGTTTTGTGGTGGAGGGGTTGCATCTTCAACATATCCCCCTATTCAAGAACTGCAGTTATGATGACCAGAAATATGTAATTACTGTGAAAAGAATGAGCATGTAATTATGCCTTTTAGCCACATTATTGTGTTTATAGAATACATCCATATGATGCCATATACATGTTACAAGAACGGGCCTAGTTTTCAGTCCTGATTTCTTGTCCTTTTCCAGCTGGAGCAAGCAGAGCGGCGTGTCACCCGCGGGCGAGGCCGGGACTCAGAGCGGCGGCGGAAACGCAAGACAGAGCGTGGTGACTACCCAGCCCTGCCTAAGGAGGAATTAGAGCCAAAGAAGATCCGGGGGCCAGACCCAGTGCTGTCCCAAGGTGGCGCTCCCCCTGCAGCAGGCACAGACTGCAGCCACAATGGAGTTGGAGTAAGTGAGGAAGATGGATGTCACAACGTTGTGGGGGTGTTTACAGGACATGTCGGGTTTTTTTTATAACAAGCTGACTAGTTCCTAACCTATCATAATTGTCTGCCTCTTCCCTAGCAGTTGTGACGGCTAGAAGATGCCTGGATTCCCCTTCCTGGACTATACTGCACTGTAAGGGACTCTGGCAGCCCCAGGTCACCCTGTTGGTTTGACTGGCACTCTGCATGGGGAGGCACTCAGCCCTAGAAGCTGCAGGCTGCATTTCCCCCCACCCCCAGGACTTGGCACTGGCCCTGCATCAGACTATTTTTCAGATGATGTAATATTTTATTTTCTTTCTCCTCCTTTTGTATTGTTGATACCGTGGAAGGGGGAGGCATTGCAGGGGTCACAACAAGCAGGGCCCACGTTCTCTTTGCCAGAAGCAGCTGAGGGCCCCACCGTGTTGCTGTAAGGACTGAAGCCTTGCAGAGATCTGGCATGGGCGGTAGCAGAACATGCTGGGACTACACCCAGCTGCTCACTTCAGGCAGTGAAAGGAGTTGGGGCCTCTCCTGAGGGAAGCTGCCGCCTCCTCCTCCTCCTCCTCGTACCAGCATTCCCTGGATACTGCAGGGACAGCACCTCCTGTTGCACAGAGGGGCAGCTCTCCCTAGACACCCCCATCCTCCTCCTGGTACCTGTTGGGTTTTATAGGAATCGTGGTAACCACTTTATTCTTTAGGGTGGTGGAAAAGGCAAGGAATATTTTAGTTCCACTCCAGCCACTACTCCACCCTCATCGTCCCACCCCCAGATCATGGGCCCCATACTGCCTCAGGCTCTGACACTAAAAATCTTTTGTCTTTCTCTTTTTAGTGTTTTCCTTTATTTTCTCCAGCAGAGAAGGGTGGGATGTTGGGGGTAGGGAGGGGTGTGTTATTTTATTGTATTATGATTTTTTATTATTATTAAACTTTGGAGGTTAACAAATTTATTTGGATCTTGGGATAAAGGCGACCTGGTCAGTTAGAGTTGGTGGTGGCAGTTGTGAGCATGCCGAGTTTCACACAACATATTGTCAGTAGCTTGTTTTCTAATTTCCTACTATGTAGGAGCATGACCATAGAGTAATGAGAAGCCCTGAGTATCTGTTTCCTTGTTTCAAAGCCTGGATTTTTGTATCATGGTTCTCAGTGAGGTGTAGTGTGAAATGGTTCTTTCACATTACTTATAGTTGTTGTAGATAATTCTATTTTGTTTTCTCCAATTGTTAGATACACATCATTAGAGTTAGAGAATTGCAATTATTCTTGCAAAAATAATATATTGCCAATGACAAAAACCTAAGAAAGAATATTAGGAACAAATTGTTCAGATCATTGAACAAGTAATAAAATTTCCTGAAATACTTCAGAAACAAAAAAACACCCAGAGAAGTAGTAAGACCGGTAGGTGAAGACAAAAATGCAGAAATATGATAAGGCAAGTGAGAAGATCATGAATTCTGTCAGTTCTCATTCCGGATGAACTTAATCTTTCTTGGAGAATGCACCTTCAAAGATATGCTAAGCAGAAATTATCAGAGGGCTGATGATAATTGAAGGAGAAACTGTTAATATCAACTGGGCTGCATATTATTTAACCAAGATTTCTTAATTTTAATATAAAAGTTTGAGCTAAAATGTATGACTTATAAAAAAAAAAAAAAAAAGCATTTTCTGTATATTTGTAGAAAGCATTATTATGCTGAAGGTAGTTGAATACACCTTGGACAAGCCGAGGAAGAACTAGCATGGATTCTGTAAGAGAAAAATCTTAGAATTCTGTGTCTCGAATGTGAAATTAGTGATCATCGAAAGATCGTTGTGTACTTGAACTTTTCAGATGCTTTTCACAAAAATCTCATACCAAAGCTTATATCAGATGAGAGGGTATATCTTCCCATGCCTCAATATCTAGCTATAAAACTAGGAAAAATGCAAGTAATGGCACCAAATTGCTCGGTTAAATTTAAGAAATGAGGTATAGCAGAAATAAATAGGGAATAGCCAAGTTGACCCTGGATCTAGATTCTGAAATCCCAACCAGCCTGGAAAAGAGCTTCAAAAGAGTTTCTCATAATCACATACTCTGGAATTCATTCCAGGAGCCATGGTGATAAGCCCCCTTCTTCCCCCCTCCCCCAGAATCCAGTGGCTTTTTATTACATACATTCTTCAAGAACAAAGCTGGTAAGACCTATGGACAGTGCAAAGTAAATGAAATTTAAATGTGTATTACAGGTGGGGGTGATGGTCCACAGTATGGACCAACTGTAGATGGAGCTTGGTTTGATCTAATACAGAATCTGTTTGTTCTTGTTCTGGAACAGCATAATTAATCATTGTTTTCAGATAATCTGCAGGCTTCTTAACTGTTTCTGTTTCAATTACCAGAAAGGTGGGGGGATAGCAAATAAAGGCACAAGTACATGTCTTTCTGCCATAAACCTAAAGACTTCCTCCAGAGAAGCTGCAACTGTAATACTGAACTAGCATCTGTAACGTGTTAAAGCCTGCTGCATATTTTGACTGAAAAGCAGTTGATACGTATACAGACTGGTGTTTGTGTGCCCACTGAATCACCAAGCCCATTTTCTGTATTTCCTTATTTGGTTACAGGCTGAACAAAAACAGGAACAATGTGAGTACTTCCATTGAAGCAAGGGTTCAGTTTAATACCTGTGCTGTAGGCAGTACTCAGAATAAACCACTAAATTCTTTGCTAACATTGCTCTTGATCAGTTCACGGTAGGGCTTGATTCTAACAAGGCTGGATCTTAAAACTACTTGTAACATTGGGCTCACTGTGCATGGAAATGTTCTTCCTTTCACAAATTCACAATGGCCCTTTTCCATTTCGTTTAGAAAATAAACTGGTATTTTATTTTCTGCTACATGCTTCTGCAGCATAGGGTTAATAAAATGATGGTGTAAATGTTGAAGGAAGCCCCAGTTTTCCTTCTATGATGTGAGAAGATGGGGTTGGGAATGAATACTGTAAAAAAATGAATCCTAAAGCCAAAGCCTTTGCAATTAGCACTGGTCACCTTACCATTTCAGGAAAGCCAGTGAGCCCTGGTCCTGCAAAACCCTGGAATTAGCCTGGACACACCACATCACACACTTTGTTAGCAATAGTGTTGTCCCCGCAATCTGGAGGAAGCAAAGAGGTTTTTCCCCATCTCTGGATCCGCTCAGCTCTTACAAAGAGTCTACTGGAATGTCATTCTCTTGCACCAAAGATTAGGTTAAAGCCTCTCCCTGCCCACTGTCTTCCACCCAGCTCAGCTTCGTGGTGGAGTTCGGTGCCCTGCCCATGGCTTGGAGCGGTGGTGGTGGTGACGATGGTGATGGCGACGGCGGCTGCTGCCGCTGCTGCTTTGGGAGTGGTGGGGGCTATTGGTGGTCCAGTTCAATGAATGCTGCTGAGCAGCTCTGTACCAGTTGGACTGCTGTTCAGAACCCCACAGGCTAGGTCCAGTATGGGACTGGTGGCCACTCTGGCTATGCTGGATGACTTGAGCTCTGTTGAACTGTTGCCAGTAGCTCTCGCAAATACCCAGGGAAGGTACCTCTTCAGAGGTGATGGCCCCCTCCAGCAAAGCACGTGGAAGGACATGCAGACGAAGTCGCCGCAGTGTGTGGCGAAAGCGATTCTCAATGCCTATGCACTGGTAGAGGCCACTGTCAGAAGGCATCATTGGGCCTAAAAGCACACCCTGAGGTGTTTGAAGCAATACACGATCCCGGGGCAACTGGGAAGGAAAGAGCATGTGACATAATTAAAATTACTTTGCTTTTTAAATTCCCATCTTACACAGCTGTTTCACTAGTGAATGGTCTGGTTTGTATCAGCCATAATGTGGTTGGTTTTGGTTTAATGCATTATATGGACCAGTTGTGTGAATGGAGGAAAGCGTCAGCTGCCAACTTCAACATCCACCATAAGACAGTGACTTTAAACTTTTAAAAAATAAATAAATAAAAGGGCCCATTGTGTGATCAGATTTTCCAATCAGTTTAATTTCAAGTTTCCACAGTCTCATTACAATATAAGGTTATATGCAGTCATGTTTAGCAAGACTTACCACTTTACGTTTGGTAGACTCATCTATTTGCATAAGCCACTTGATGGTCGCGTGGGGAGATCGGGGTTCACACTCCAGAAATACACTTCCTCCTTCTAGTCCATATTGAATCTGTTCACTTAATTGCTGTTCTGCTGTGATGGGGGCAGGGGAACCGGGAGGAGAACAGGATTCCTTGAGTTCTGAGACCCCACTGCATTTCAGTAAACACTGGAAGTAGACAGTCTGCTAAGCGCAAGTCTGGCTTCCAACAGTTGTTGCTGTAAAAATATTTTATCTAAGAAACCCAGCAGTTATCAAATTTCTGCCAAAATGAACACAATAGGATTTAAATTCTTGTTTTTGACTCATATTTCTAAAGTACTGTACTACTACAATGTGCCACTTAGTTCTTTCAACTTTTACCTGGGAAGAAAAAACAAAATTCAAGGATTTCTTCCAGTTTGATCACAGTAAAAGATTAAGCACTTGTAGGAAATGGCCCTTGAATGCAATGGACATTATCAGAACCTGTCAAGGTAGAAGCCCCCGGATTGTCCTGGTCAGAGCAAGGACAGATAGTTGTTCACTTTAAAAAAATGTGTGCAAAGCCAAAGCAGTTGGCTTTGGTTAAACTCTTAAATACTACAAAGGCAAGAAAATAAAACGTTTTGCAAAACAGCTCTCAGTTCCTTGCCAGTGTCTGTGCTATCTTGGGCTGATGGGAGTTGAAGTCCAAAACATCTGGAAGATATTAACGTAATCTATCCAGGGCCGCTTAGAAGTAGGCCCCTTTTCATTCCACAGCACTCTGAAGAGAGCATGTCCACAATTATAGCCTTATAGAAGCATATCATCTGTTGCTAGACATCTTTGTTCCTTTCCCAGTCTTCTTTTAATTGTTACTAAAGGAAAGTGATAATGGGTTCAGCCACATAAAGCAAGGTTACCTAAGTGGTGGCCTGCATGCCCAGTGGGGAACTCATACAAAAAAGGCATGATTTTCTCTTTGAGGTCAGAAAGAGGCTTTTGCTTCTTTCCACAAGTCAGCTGTGCAAGGGAAACAGTTTTAGGGTGGGAGCCAGGGGATAATAATTGAGCAGATATGTGTGTGAGAAGTTGAATACGCAGAGGGTGTGTGATGGGGCTCGATAAATAAGAGTTGAGAGAGAGGTGGAGTATATGAATGAATATGTGACTATGGCTTTGGATTCATCCACTGCTGGCCTTAGGAAGATTGCTTGTAAAGAAATGCAATCCAGGATAAAGGAATGGTTTCTTAACCCAAGCCACCAAATTAGGAACTCTATTCAAAAGATGATATAATTATAAACTCTATTAGGAAGAATGCCTTACTAGGTGCAGCCCTTTTATTTGCAAAAGTGCTAATAAGCTATCCAAGGAGCCTAAAGAAACAAGCCATGTGCCTTTTGATTTAGAGCTTTATCAGTTTCTGTGGAGGTTAAGTTACCAAAAAATAGGACAGTAGAAAAGATGCACTGGAGTTGAGATCCACTCCATACAACTCTCTTGGCTGGGCTACAGAATCATCTGGAATGTTTCTCAACTTCCCAATCTAACCAAGCATCTGAAAGAGGTCACCCTAGCTGGCAGAAGCTACACTAGATGTGTTGTAGGGAGATAATCACTAGAGCTACTGCTAGATTTTGCACCATAATGCACAGTTCACCTTTTCTTCCTATACAGATTTAGGTAGTAGTAGTCCTCTGACACAATACTAGCAGAGGTGGCTTGTGTGAAGTCTTCCAATTCATTAACCCAATCACCAGGATGATTTTTTTAGGCTATATACTACTAGCAGTTCCCCAAGAGAATTATTTCCTTGAATCTGCCTAGCTGCAGTACGTACATTTACTCAATGAATACCACATTCTATGTTGCTGTACAATTTTACTTTTCCAATTAAGGGTGAAACAATATCAACTGATAAATAAGATCCTGAATTCAGAAAATCTAAATAGATAAAAACCAAAATGTGATACAGCTATTTTAGAGATCAAAGATAAAAAGACAAAGCCCCAAAGGCAGTAAAGAAGATAGATGCAACTGAGAGAAAAGTTACTACGAAATAGACTTCAATAGAAACTTATAGATCACACGAGTTTTCCCAGCCTGGTGGCTTTCAGACATTAGCACCAGTCTGATATTTTCTGGGACCTTAAGGCCCTCTTCCACCCAGCTCTCTCACTTCTGGAGCAGGGAGATCGTGAACAATCATTACCAAAGATACCACAATTCACAAAGCAGGAGGAGGCACACTGCTAACAAACGAATCCAGGAAAGTCTAAGATCATGAACTCCAACACTGAATGTCAAGGAGCTGTCATCTAATTATAGCTGTACAAAACTGATGTATCCGGCTCTCAATAAATTATGAAAATAGCATTAAAAAACAAGGCACAGGAAGAGCTAAATTAAAATACAGTGCTTTTGCCCAGATAAACTTTATTTTCCACTGTACAACCTTGCATCCTTTTCCAATATATATGCCTGGCCAATCAGACATGCAATTTATCTCCTGGTTTCCATTCCAGTAGCCAGCCAAGCTTCTGCTGTTAATTCCTTTATGTTCCTCTAGTGAGCCTAGCCATCAGTAGAAGAACAGCAACACCTAGGAATTCCTTATGTCATCATCCAATACTTCCATGCTCCAGAGAGGAAAATAAACAATTTGGAAAGAATCAGAAAATTTGTGTAATTTAGGTAGCAATACTTAACTTCCCAATCTAGTAGCTTCCAAGATGTGTTGACATTATGGCCTCCAGTATCTTCAGTTATTATGACCAGTTGCTAAATCAAGCTAATAATGTGTATTTACATAGTATCATTACAGCTAAGGATAACACTAGCTTGCATTACTGGCGAGACAAGTTGACACAAACTTTCTCCATCCATGGAAATGTATTGTTTTTGCAACTCACTACCAATTATCCTGTTCTATGGAGCCTCGATCCTGCTTTCTCTTTCTAGAAGAATTGGCCTTACATTTAGCCAACTTCCCAGGTGGTCAATTAAATTTTGCTCCTGCTTCTGTATGAGGCTGACCTCTAGTAATGAATGCTGGAAAATAAGTGCAATTCCACCTTATAAATCTCCATTATATTTAATATTCTAACTACAACCTTTCTTTCCCCTTCCAATTTTGAAATAACACATGCATTGAAATCTGCCTGGTATAACAGCTCAGACAGTTGATTCACCCACCTATTGTCTACTAACTGGCAGCAACTCTTCCCATTGGATTATCATCATGTATCTCCTGATACTTCTTAAAATAAGAAATTACAAGATTCCTTTTGGCATCCAAAGTAGGTATATTTTCCAGGAAACTATGGTTGTACAGGTAGTCCTCGGTTAACGACCATTCATTCAGCAACTGTTCAAAGTTACAATGGCACTGAACAAGGAGACTTATGGCCAGTCCAGTTGCGGCTGTCGCAGCAGCCCCGCAGTCACATGATCGTTATTTGGGTGCTTGGCAACCAGTTCACAATTATGATGGTTGCAGTGTACTGTGGTCATGTGATCACCATTTATGGTGATTTACTGCCAGCTTCTGGCAAGCAAAGTCAATGGGGATTCGCCTAACAACTGCAGCTGGAACTGGTGGAACTGCCATTGTTAGTTGGTGTGGTCACGTGACATTGTGCTTTATGACTGCACCACTAAGTGACAGAGTTCTCAGTCCCAATACTGTCGTTAACCAAGAAGTACATATACTTCTATTATCCTTCATTAAGAATCATTAAGATCTCTGCTGCAAAAATCCAGAGGACATGCAAAGAATTAGCATTTTCCATGTTTTTTTTGCTGTTATCTAGTGAACACTCAGATTTTTACAGCCCAGATTTGATAGCCTTGCTGTTATTCTTTGTTTAAGAAGAAAATCTGACTGGAGTTGCAGTAGCCCAACCTTACACCTAAATTTTACTTCACTGCCTTCTTTGCAGTGTTTCTTCCAAAAATACTGACCAGTAGATGTCCTAACCTGAGGAAGTGATGTGAGCAAAACTTGCCTTTGATCCCCAGTGGAGTAGTCTTCCTATGCCGGACTGTTCCCAAGGCTGCTAAATTACTTCTGTGTCCATTATAAGAAAAACACAACACTGGCGAGGAGACCCTGGCAGCCATTCATAGGAAGCCCCTGGAGAGACTTACCCTTGGCATTAAAGCCACGGCACTGCCTCAAGGGATCCCCGTGCTTGATGTCCTGGCGACGGCTCCTCCTGGTCAGAGACGAGAGATCAAACTTACTTCCTTCGTTTCCCACTTTCTTTCCCACACAGCAACTGAGGATATATGTTATTCACAACAAATACAATGTGATTACTCCCCATATGTTTCCTCTTTACAACTGGATGATAACTTTCAGAGGAACTCCACCCCATCCTCTTCTCTTCAAAGCAACTTTTATGCATAATTATCTTGTTCACACAACACTTGCTAACTGAGGAAGGTTAACAGCTGAGGCAAACAGGAAAACCTAGTGAAATTACCTAGGCAATTAATCCAGAGAGGATTGGTTTTAGCTCCAAACAGACCTAGGTTTGTTCAGAGCTAAACTACGTTCCACCAGTAAACTAATTTAGCTGAAAATTAACTGTCCCTTTCAATGTCTGGACAGAGATGAAATCCTAGAGGCCCTGTTTCTTTTCTAGGCACTTCATCTCAATTAGCATTTCATTTCCACATGGCCACACAAGCAGTGTATACAGTATATGAAAAAACAGGCAGAACGAGGTTAGGGACTGGGGTAAGTGGTGCTGCTGTGCTGACGTTAATTGCACCATATATATACATACATATGTACATATATACATGAAATTGTAATTTGCAGCAGCTGGGAGAATCTAGAAAATCCAGGACATCCCAGCATCTGCCAGCTCATGGAGGTGGTAAGGATATCATGATCAACCATACTGTAGGAACACAGCTGCTGATGAACAGTGTTATTTTTAATCTCAACAGGGAGTTTTCCCAAGTTATGTCACGCCTCTGGATAATTCCTCACTGGAGGAAAAAGAGGAGGAAGACACTTAGGATGAGTGGAAGTTTTAGAAAAGTGGCAAATGTCTCAGTGTCAGTAAGGTGGAACCACATCAAGCCCTAAAAAGCATCAGTGCTTATTGGTGTAGCCAAAGACATAGTAAGACCTTAGAAACTGAGTTTCTTGAGAATACGAAACTTGGAGGCTTTGATTATCAACAGCTTGGTTAGGTGGAATTTCATAAATACACACATACACGTATACATAAATTTTCTTTTTCAATCCCTCCAATGCTTGCTTATATATACAGGTACCAAAAATCAGGCCCCATGGACAGTGTATTATATAAATTATAGTAAATGTTTGAACTGGTTGCCCTTTTCTTCTAAACACTACCTTACTCATTTTCATTTGATGCATGACCTTTGTACATTCCTAAGTACAGTATAATTTTCTCTGAAAAAAAAATTAATAAACATACTGTGATTGGCTTAGGGGGCCTAACCTTGGATACATATTATTTATGTGTGAGTGTGTGTATATAGATATACAGATATACAGATACATAGATATATTTTAAAAAATCCCCTCTCACCCCTATGGGTGGTATGCGTCTTTCTCAGTCTCGGGTCCTCTACCAGAGGCCTGGGAGTTTGAGGGTTCTGCGCAGTATCTCAGCTGTTCCCAGCACTGCACTCTTCTGGACAGGGAATTCTGATGTTGTTCCTGGGATCTGTTGGAGCCGCTCTCCCAGCCTGGGAGTCACAGCCCCGAGTGCTCCTACCACCACCGGGACCACTTTGGCCTTTACTTTCCACAT